GTCTTAGGCAAAGCCTTTGTTACATCAATTTCAATAATCACCCTGGCAAAAGAGACCCTAAGATTCCTTGTTGTGCATTCATCAGCACAAATTGGTACCTCTAACAGACTACCAATCCTGTTGAGTGTTTCAGCCCCCTAACAATTTAATGGCGGATTAGGGAATTTAACCTTAAGTGGAATAGTTCTTAAAATTTTAGCATTAAAATCAAATTTAGCACTCCAAGGTTTAACATTTGCTGGTTTTCCATAAAACATGTGAGATCCATCACATAGAATAGCATTCTTATCATCAACTGAGCACAAATTAACAATGAAATACCCATCATCATGCCATAACACTTTTGGTTTTTGCACAATACTCCATTGCTGAGAAATAAAGTGTTGAACCGCAGCAATAGTAGGATAAAACCCAAAAACATAGAAAACTAAAACATTTAGCCATCAAATTACCTGCAAAGAGTTCAGATTCCTGCAATTGGGCAATTTGCTTTCCATCCTCCACTCATGGGGCAACATAAGTCAAAGAAGCACCCTTAGCATTCAGCTTTCCTTGAAATGATCCACCATCCTCAATAGGTTTATTTTGCAATGGTTGAACATTATGGTGAGGATCTGGAACTCCAGTATCTTGTTGATTACCAAAACCTCCAGAAATCAATTGAATAGTAACCCTAAAAACCCGAGTTACTGTTCTATTGGCTTATGAAGATGTGGATTTACCACATTTCTCAAAAAGTGCAATAGTCTTTGCTTCACTTCTCGGAATAGGACCCACCGCCAGATTAACAAGCTTCAGCGCCGGAGTTACCAGCTCATCCACTTCATGAATCAGGCTGGGTGTGAAAGTATTACCAGAGTTCCTCATGTTCCTCATAATTGCATCAAAGGGTTCATGTGTAATCGATTGTGAAGCTTGTTGAGGTGCTGGAGTGTTCTGTTTTCTCTTTCGAGCCATTGAATTTCAGCTTTGATGAAGAAAAACCATCAAAATCAAAAAACAAGGAGAGGAGAGAGAACAAAGAAAGTCAACAAAAGTCAAACCTCAATGTAATAATGTGTTTTAAATATATCTCAGCTTTTAATTCAACATATCAGCTAACACATGAAACATTTATATAAGCCAACAGAAAAGACTAATAAGCTACAAATTATTGATATTTTCAAACAAAAATTACTTATAATTTAAAAAATTATTGATATAAAAAACATATAATCCACTTGTACAGTTATATAAGCTAATAAACTATTGATATAAGCCAACATAAAATACTTATAAGCTTACAATTCATTGATATAAGAAAACAAATATTCTTATAAATACAACATATTAAAAATCATCAAAAACTAAATTAACTCATCAAAGAAAAACTTTTACTTTATCATACACAAAGTCCAAAGAATACTTTATATTAGGCAACAAAAAGAATATTTTAGCCAACACAAAATCCACATCAGTTTTAAAAAAGAAACATATCAGCTAATACATGAATTATACTAGCATAATTATTTAGATTGTTTTTATTACATTTCTGTAAATAAGTTGAGGATTTGGAGTTTTTATTCCAAATTCATTTGGATGTCTTGTAGCAGCTTTTCTTCTTTCAAAACGACCTCTAATCCTTTTGTTTCTTCCAGGTGACCTTCCTTTTGTTTTTGGTCTTAAAGGATTAGGTATTGTTTTTGTTCTTTATTCTTATTCATTTATTTATTTTATCTTCTCATCATATGTTTGAAACACCTTCTTCATTAACTGATACATCTCTTCAAGTGCATCATTTCATACTTTTTTTAGCTTCCTCATTTGATTGACAAATGGATACCAAATTGTAGAAATTTCTTTATATTGCATGTCTCCATGGTGTGTCAAGTATTGAATTTTGATCCAATACTTCTTGAACATTTCTTAAAAAATTATAAGCCAACAAAGATTCTTATAAGACAACATATCATATAAGTTAAGAGAAATTATATAAGGTATCGTATAAGTTAAGTTTATAATATAAGTTAAGATATATTATATAAGCCAACTAATGAATTATATAAGCTAACAAAGATTCTTATAAGACAAATTGGTACCTTCTCTGTCTTCCCAAATTAAAGATTTTGCTGATTTTGTCCATCTCTTTTTGATGTATATTGATGGAATAGTAAACACATTATGCATATGCATAACTCTCAATATGTGATATCATATCATTCTTGATTCATTAAAACATAAACATGTGCATGTAAATTCTTTCAAATTCTTGTAATAAATGACTCGATGGCTGCCCTTGAAATCTTCATTTATTGACACTTGTTTCATATTCTTCCGGAAAGTCATTGTAAAGGTTCAAAGTGTAAACTTCATCCGCATGTTTCAACAATTTGCAATTTGTTTTTGGCTTCTCTACTTTATTTATGAAATTATCTTCTTTTTCAGTGCTTCTCCATCATTTGACTATTGTTTCAAAGATATGAAAGAATTCAGACATTTATATTTCTTTCGGATTTCATATGATGTCTTTGTGTTGATGGAACAAAATCATGATTGTGTTATGTGTTATGTTGAACAACACAATATGCTACATTTTCTTTTATCTTGAATCTGATATTGGCTTTACAAGCACTTCTAGTCCCATTGAAACATCTTTCTTTCCTCTTCTTTTTTTTTTATTGTCCTTCTATATCTGAAGGCATTTCACTAACAAATATAATTTATTTATCCTTTATCTGTCTTTTTTCATCTATAAATCCCTCCTTTGAGCAGCAAATCCCTCCATTATTTCTTTTTAGTGTACTTTTTCTTACACTAAATCGTACTGCTATAAAATGAACTTTGTATAAACGATATGCATCTTGATAACTTTCAACAATTCTTCCTCTCAAAGATAAATATATGTCTTTATCACCATCATACTTGAAATAATCCAAATATGGAATGTAATAAAAGATAATAAAGGAAATACATAAGCCAAATTTTGAGTTACAACAACCAACAATAAAATAGATTTTAATATCATATAACAATGGAAACATAAAAGATAAAAATTGAAATATATAAGCCAACAACAAACACATATCAGATATTAATAGTCAACGCAAACAACAACAAATTATTTTTATAAGTCATCTCATCATTTATATAAGCTAACAAGCTAATGATATAAGCCAAAAACGAAAACATATATACTTGTATGAAATAAAAAACCAAATATTATGTTATATAAACCAACTGTTCAATATCAGTCATCTATATTATTATATAAGCTATTATACTATCCACGCATACATTTTCAAAACAGTCATCATAAAATATAAAAATTGAAATATATAAGCCAACAACAAACACATATCAGATATTAATAGTCAACGCAAACAACAACAAATTGTTTTTATAAGTCATCTCATCATTTATATAAGCTAACAAGCTAATGATATAAGCCAAAAACGAAAACATATATACTTGTATGAAATAAAAAACCAAATATTATGTTATATAAACCAACTGTTCAATATCAGTCATCTATATTATTATATAAGCTATTATACTATCCACGCATACATTTTCAAAACAGTCATCAATACTTAAATATAATTATGAAACATAAATTTAGTCACCAATATCAACTTCTTTGTCATAATTTCTTTGTCTTTGTTTCTATTTTTTTTTCTCCTCTATAATCAGATAATTTTTTACTGTTTAAAAATCGAAGAAAAAGTAATAGAGTAATAAAAATAAAATTACCCGTGTTTTTCGACGTGATTGTTGATAAATTAGGTGAATTTGAATTATCTTTTTCTCGATTAAAATCAAATTTTAGAAAATTCGTTTTGCTGATTAAGTTCTTCATTTTGATGATTTATTGATTTTGTATTTTCGATTTTTAGCGTTCATTGTTGTAAATTTCAAAATCATACGATCTTGTTTTTTGTTTTTTTTTCTTCGATTTTGCGTAACAAAATTTCGAGTTAAGTGCATGCATGAGTACTAAACTTTCATGATTGTTGCAGTTTAGGTACCCTAGTTGCAAAAGTTGCAGTTATGGTACTCTAAACACATTCTGTTCAGTATGCTTTTAACTAAAAAAAACTAATTAATAAATTAGCTGCCATAATTGCAAAACCAAGTTTTTATTAATTCCCAACTGTCAAATCGATACCAACTCGGTCTTTCTTCTTGAAGATTGCTAGTGCTCCATTCCAAAAGCTTCCACCGCACATTTTTGTAACTTTTGCTCCCAGGTACTAACTGCCATTTTTTAATTCATAAAAATTTGATTTAATTTTTTTTTTCATTTTAATATAATAAAGCAATGTGAATAATTAAACACTAATTAAATATCACTAGTAGAAAAAGGCTCATTTGCGTCGCTCGTTTATAGTGTATTTGCGTCGCTTCTATGAGCGACGCAACTACTCGCGACGCAAATGATTTAAAAGTCATTTGCGTCGCTCCTAGGCGCGACGCAAATAAGAGTCATTTGCGTCACTCCTTTATAAAGGAGTGACGCAAATAAGAGTTATTTGCGTCGCTCTTTTATAAAGGAGTTACGCAAATAGCTGGTCTGATCAACTTCTTGTTTGTTATTTGTGTCACTCGTTTATATAGGAGTGACGCAAATGACTGACTAGACAATACAAAATTGCTTTATTTGCGTCACTTGTTTGTTTAATGAGTGACGCAAATGAGGTGATTTTTTTTTAATTATAATAATTGCTTGTATATATTTGTAGTACATGTTTTCCTTGCTAGTGGCATAAAGTAATATGCTAACGCTAATAATTGAAATTAAAATGCAATATTATTGAATGCAAATGTAAATTTCGGCAGAGTCTCCTTTGTATTTTTGCCTACCCATAAAATTGGGAATGACGGCATTATATTAACAACCTGTCCAATAATTTACATCTCAATATCATAGACATTATACTCATCATCCCAACACCAATTAACCAAAATCATTCATGTCAAGCCTATAATCCAAAACAAGAGTCCAACATGGGCTAAGTGTAAATCTAAAGTTCAACATTACATATAAAATACTCTGCCCAAATATCTCGAATCTCATTTATCTCCTCGGTGTACGGTGTAGTTCTTGAAAAATCCTATCAACACAACAAATATACAAGAGGAAAGTTTTAATTCAAGATTGTAGCTAACATCAAATTGTATTTATCAAACAAAAATGAAATATTTGACAACTCAACCTTAATAAGATCCTCACTGCTATGGTGATGTTCAAGTATTTCGTACATATGACGCATGACGTAGTAGCCACACTCACGTCCACCCAATTGTTGAGGACACTACATGTAATATATTTATAAGTTGAATTAAATTGCTATACTTAAATTATTAAGAAACTAAAAGTTAGGGTAAGAAATTAAGGTAACTTGTCCCAAATGCCATGTCAATTTACTTCCCCTAGATTGTCCACTTAATTCCTTGAAACTTCGAAAAGCACTACACATTTGAAAGAAATAACATATTTATTATCCTTACACACATAAAATCATGACATTAATAACAAACTAGACTTACTTTGTCATTACACACTTAATTGCTAAATTTCGCTTCTGCCTCAAAGAATCAAAGATGATGACTTCACGCTTAGCCATGCATAAGACCAAAAGAACCCAATGATTTTACATAATAAATTAGACACACATTTGTAAAAGAGTAAAATAATATCAACAATTTGCAAAGTTCAAATAAAAACAAGTTTAAAGTTTATACTTTTCATGGTATGGGCATAAGATAAACTGCTTAGATTTTTGTTTTTCCATCACATGTGTCGTGTATAGAAGGATACGATCTGCATCACTATGCAAATAGGTTTCTGAAATCATTTTTGGACACATGAATCCAATGGAAGCCACATCCACCATATCGAGTATGTCACTCAAGGCCCTACATATATATCATGTAATAACATTATAAATGGTAATAAAGTATATATGGGAAGAGTGAAATTTGAATATCTTACATCATAAAAACTTGCAAAATTGAAATATTCAGCCAAGCTCCCGTGAGAAGTTGATTGACATCTTCACGTCTGATAATGATGTCCTTACTATCTTCATAACTAAAGGTCCAAGCATCAACCTTTACCATAATAGTTTCACCTTTGGGTAATGAAGATAACAAACTATTCAAAGACCCACACTTCTGAGACAAGTTTTCCAAAGCATAATCCATAAGAAAAACTTTTTTTGGATTGGTGTTGGACTCTTTTGTTTCGTGACAACTTTCAACTACTTTCACTTTGTCTTGCATGTTTACTTTGGCCGCTTTGTTGTTATCATCGTTCTTATTTGATATGAATTCCTAATCAATAGTAAAGCAAATCTATTCAACAATTTGCTATATTTTGTATGGTACACTATATGTAAATTGTTACAAAAATAATTTACCTTGTCATGCATGAGTGAAACCAAGTCTTTCGGCCATTGGGTAAATGTACCGTGGGCATGCTTAAGTTTCTTGATGACTGAAGAAGGAACTGGAACCAAGAATTCTTTGAACTCGTCAAAAAAATCATTAACACTTACCCTCACGTGATCTAGAAGGAGGTTACTATGATGATCAAGGATTAACTCTAGATGATATGTACCTTTAGCGAAAATAACTTTCTCAGAGTCATTTTTCATTAATGATAGCCGACATGGAACCGATTCCTTACAAAGATAGAAAAAAATCATTATTTAAAAAAAAAAAAAAAAGAAAATTGAGTTACAAAGTTAAAAGTATGTCGCAGTCATAAATCATTACAAAAAAAAAAGATAAAAAATATAAAATAACAAAGTTTTGGATACCTGTATGTTTGCAAATGGATCATCACCCACTGATTGGCAACTACTAGGATTTAGTTGAGTCGTCTGACCTATGTTATTCATTTCCATCAATTCAGTTGGAATTAGAATACCAATCTGTTTAGCAAATAACATAAACTTCTCTTGAACCATGGAATCCATTTTAGAATCCATCTCCTGCATAGTCTCCTCTCGTACCCTTCGGGCTACTCTTGCCTCTAATTCTTCCAGCTCAGCATCTCCGATTTCCCTACCCCGTCGGCCACTACGCCTCTCTCCGGATCCCCATACAGCTTTAATGCCAATTCCACTGCCAAATGCTATTGCCTGACCATTACGATCTTTTTTCCCAAGGGCACAAGATAAGATATCATCGTGCCTATTAGGAACAAATTTTCCATTAGCTTGTTGCTTTCTCCAATTATCCTACACAAAGAGTTCAAGTTAGTAAACTTTGGTTGCAATACATAAACTTAACAAAATATATTCAAAATTGAAATAAAGACTTATTATATACTTACAATGGATTCTTTCACCTCTCTTGTTTTCTCATCCAGCAAATAAGGATTTCCCTTATCATCTTCTATAAATCTTGCTAGAAGCCAAGCATATGTCCTATCCGGCAAAGTAGACACAACCGAAGAACAAGATGAAGTACTGGATGCTGAAGATACTGTGGGAATATACCCTTTTCTACGCCATACAATATTCATTTCACCATATGATTTGGCTCCTAAATGGTGAGGGTATTCGTTGAAAGACTGGCTTTGTCTTGCCTTCTCACTGATTTCCTATTTTCACGAGCATAAATGAAGATTAGTACATAAGAATCCGTTATCAAATTATTAATAACCTGCATGATCATTGATATTAATACACACAAACCTTAAAATCATCTGTACTATGCTCCTCCACAAATGTTTTCCACATATCTTCAGATATGAAATCATAGAGTACATACGACATTCTTTTCTTCTTCGGCATATTCCTGGTACATGTGATCCAACCACTGACCAATTTTGTTTTAAAATCTCTCCAAGTTTTATCACAAGTGTGTAGGACCTTTTTTTCTTGTCGTCATCTTCTTCAATTTGAAACTCTCTCTACAAAAAAAATTAAAAAAATAAAAAAAAGTTAGTAAATAATTTCATCATATTCAAATAAATTGTTTTCATCATATTCAAATAATGTCAAAATGATCATATAATGTATAACATTTAACATTTAATAGTGAATATTACCTTAACATCTTCCCACAAAGTGTCTTTTATTCCTTGTGGAACTTTATTCCAATCTTTATACAATATAGACACTTTTGCACAGCTTATTTCACCAAGATGAGTTTTGTATGCTTTTGCCCACTTTCCAATGGGTCGACACAATTCATCCCATTCAAGCACTCAAGGAACCCCAGGCATGGATTTCAGGCCCTTTGAAGGACCTCTTGGCTTCTTTTTCTTCTTTTGAGAGTCGGTTGTTTGTTGCTCTGATTGTGATTGATTGTGTGGATCATCTTTCTCACCTTGCGAAGACATGGAACGATTATGCATATCCTCATCCTCCATTATTACTTACTTGAAAAAAAAAAAGACATAAATAAATTAAGACATCGATTTGTATCATTTTTAAATTATATACTTGTACACATAACAAAATAAGCAATTTATGCAATTAGTAACACATATTGGAAAAAAAAATCACATAATTCGTACCTACTTCATTCTTCTCTTTTGCGACATAAAATCCTTCATTATGATCTTTTCGTTTCAACGTTGTGTCAAAATCATCGACTATTGGAGGGATGCTCCAATCATCGACTCATTAAATTTCTCATCATATTCTTCCTCGTCCACCACATCTTCAATGCCAAGTATCCTTCTTTTACCTTCTAAAACAACTGACCACTTACAATCTGTTGGGTCAGCCATGTAAAAAACTTGTTTTGCTTGTGAAGCTAATATAAATGGATCAGCTAGATGCCCTCGTTGACCAAGATTTACAAGGGTCAAGTTCCCTTGTTCATCTTTTTTTATACCACGGCTACTATCAGCCCACTTACATCGAAATAGAGGAATCTTGAAATCAACATAATCCAGCTATATTATTTCTTCAATGATTCCGTAATAAAATTTCTTCTTATCCACAAGTGTTTTATCATGTGCACTAGAATACTCAGATGACAAACCTATTACTTTAACACCACTGTTTTGCATTGTTGACTTGTCATCTTGTTGGCTAGTGTAAAAAGAATACCCATTGATGTCGTATCCCTCATATGACATGACTTGACATTTAGCACCATATGCCAACCATCTCAATGTATCAGATATATCATTAGGTGTGGTGGATAGTTGGGAGATCACTCGTTCCTTGAACCATGTAACGAATGAACAATTATGCTCCTTTATCAGTTGAAGATCACTTTTGGAAGGATATTTATTTTTAAGAAAAAGCATGTGCTCATCCAAGTAAGGATGAACCTCACTAAGATTTTGCAACACAAAAAGCTCAGCCTTATTTTTCATTTCAAAGCCCATGGATATCCTCTTCCTGCCAATAGTACCTTGACCTCTAAGCCTCCCATCGTGTCGAGACTTTGGCAACCCAATTTTCTGTGAACGTGCAAGATATTGAGCAACCCATGCTGCCACTTCCTCAGCAATTGTTCGTTGTACAATACTAGCTTCAGGTTTGGCTGGATTCATGACTTTTCCCTTTAAGTCACCCGTTTCTTGTTCAAAAGGATACATGTATCTCATACACACTAGTCCACAAAGTTTAATTTCACGTACAACATGAATAACCAAATGAGGCATCACGTCAAAAAAAGATGGGGGAAAATACATTTCAAATCGACACATTGTCTCAAGTACATCTGCTTGCAAGTCATCTAAAATACTTGGATTTATGACGTTGCTACAGATAGTGTTAAAAAAGACGCATAATCTTGTAATCGTATACCTCACTTGAGGTGGCAAAATTCCTCGAATGGCAACTGGTAATAATTGTTGCATCAAGACATGACAATCATGAGATTTCATGCCACACAATTTCAAGTCAGACATTGACACGAGTCTACGAAAATTAGAAGAAAATCCAGTCGGGACCTTTAAACCATGCAATGACTCACAGAAGCTAGTTTTTTCCTTTTTAGACAAGGTAAAGCAAGCTGGGGGAAGATACCAGCGTTTTCCTCGAGATTCGGGTGCCAACTCTGAACGACCCATAGAAGCCATGTCTTTTCTTACTTTAACTCCATCCTTTGTCTTTCCTGGCATATTTAATAAAGTTCCCCAATGGCATCACAGACATTTTTCTCAATATGCATTACATCTAGACAATGTCTAACTTCTAAATGTCTCCAATATGGAAGAGACCATAGCTCAGACTTCTTCTTGTAACCCCCAGTTAATTTGCTTTTGTAAGGCTTACCAAACTCATTCTCAATGTCTTTGACCCGCTGATAAACCTCACTTGCACGTAAAGGGCCACGAGCTTCTCTCAACTCCACTTTTCCATTAAAAGCATCCTTATTGAATCGAAAAGGGTGGTCTTCAGGAAGATGTCTGCGATTATCCATGTATACATGCTTGCCACAATTGTCTAGGCGTTATGCCTCCAAATTATCTTCACAAATGGGGCAAGGAGTTGTTCCCTTCACAGTGTACCCCGACAAATTCCCATAAGCTGGGAAGTCATTTATCGTACAAAAAATCATGGCACGTAAAGTGAAATTGGTTTTACTATATGCAACAAACATTTGGACACCTTCATTCCACAATAATTTCAAATATTCAATGAGAGGCGCTAGATACACATCAATGTCATTTCCAGGTTGTTTAGGCCCAGATATTAGAAGGGACAACATAATGTGTCTAGACTTCATGCATAACCAAGGAGGCAAATTGTAGATAGTTAGAAGAACCGGCTAAGTGCTATATTGGGTACTTAGTGTCCCAAATGGGTTCATTCCATCTGTACTAAGACCAAGCCTAAGATTTCGATCTTCTTCACCAAAGTCCTTGAACTTTCGATCAATGTTCCTCCATTGCGGGGAATCAGCAGGATGCCTCATTAACCCATCTTTATTCCTCCTATCAGCATGCCACCTCAATAATTTTGCAGTTTTTTCATCCGAGAAGAGTCTCCTAAATCTCGGTATAATTGGAAGATACCATAATACCTTAGCCGGAGACCCTTTCTTACACAACTCACCAGTATCATTCATCTTATAACGAGAAACTCCACACCTTGGACACTCATGCAAATCAGCATACTCATTTCGATACAACACACAGTCATTGGGACAAGCATGTATCTTCTCATACTCCATACCCAAGGGGCACATAAGTTTCTTGGCCTCATAGGTGGAGTTTGGAAGTTCATTCCCTGCGGGAAACATTTCTACTAAGGCTTCTAACAACTGCGGAAAACCCTTGTCGGTCCAACAATTGCTCGCCTTTAAGTTGAATAAATTCATAATAGCACCAAGTTTAGTGAACTTTGTACAACCAGGATATGACGGGGTTTCTGCAGCTCTCAAAATACTATCATATGTCTGGGGACACTCTGTGAAATGGTCTTCAACATCATGCATCATTTCATCTATCCTGTCCTTCTCCACTTCACTCTCACTTTTAACACCAATATCAGTTGTATCGATATCCTCACCTTGGTGTTCATTATCATCATCACAATTATTCTCATCTTCCCTTGGACAATAACTAGAACTTCCCTCAATATATATGCTCTCACCATGCCATGTCCACCTTGTGTAGTTTTCTTTAAACCCACGACGAATTAGATGATCTTTAATATCAACTATATCACGATATCCCCTCGAATTATTACAGTCACAACAAGGAAAAAGAATAATCTTTGATTTATTCTCTGTTTGGTGTTTTAAGGCAATTGTGCTAAACTCTTCAATTCCTCGTAAAAAACTTGTACAATTTCGTTTACCATACATCCAACTTCAATCCATTTTCAACCACTGAATAACAAAATTAATTTTAAGATAATGTGTATATTTTCTAACATATATAGCTCCTTAACCATAAACAAGAATATAAGGCATCAAACATTTTCATTCAAAGTTTATCTCATGTAAATGCAACGACATGATCCAATAAGGTCCTTATCACTCCAACCTAACCCATTCTTGAATGTCCTATCTCACTAATAACTACTTGTAAAGTTTGGTTCTAAAGAAAATCCGGCAGCATTTCCCTATAGTTCTCCAAGCACATAATGTAGATAATCGGCTATCTACATATGTACCTAGAGAACAATCGGGAAATAGTGAGCCATAATCTTCTTAGACCCAAAAACAGTTCAAGTAGTTATCACCTAAATGAGATAGAACATTCAAGAACAGTCCCAAACCGGGGACTATTCAAGACTTACTCCTAATGAGTAAGCCCTAAACGGGTATCTAAGCCAATGATGCAAGTATTATTGCAATTCCAATCAATTATATCACAATTAAAAATTTCATACAATTCACAATCATTATACCAACCAGAACAAATAAGTTAATATTGCAAAGA